ATATATATATATATATATATGATGCAATATGCAATATACAATAGGCTGGTTGAATAAGTGTGCACACCTTTAAATTTAGTTGAAGCAGCACCTTCTGATTTAATTTCAGCCAGAAGAGGTGGCTCTGGAAAGAGATGTCAGGACCTCCCAGCTCAAGCTGCTTCCCCTGTGATCCGACCCCAGAACAAGAAGAATATGATGAATGGATTTATCAATTCAAAGAATTTCAAAAATTAAATGAATAAACTACACAAAATAAAATGTGCTTTAATTTCTATTCTTGGAAGTGATTTCACGCTGACATGCTTGAAAAACAGCTAGGCCATCAAAAGATAATCAGTTTTGACCAGCAGGGGGTGCTGTGTGCACCAGAAGCATCCAGAAAGTAACCTGATTTTTAAACAACTGGAATAAAGAAAAGCTTTGCAGAGAGTGGTGTAGATGAACAGATGCTCAGATATATTCATCAATTAACGCGGATTCCTCATTTTTCTGAACTGAATAAACGTGCATTGAATTTAATGAAATGCAAACGTGAGACGTCATTTATATTTGACCCATCAAAATGAATGCGGTCATTTATTTACAGAATCAAAGTTTAACATCAAACATTTACATTAATTTGGCAAATTATGAAAATAACAACATAAGCAATCAATCAGGAAAAATCATACGGCCATGATTTTTCCGTTGCTTCACCACAGACATTTATGAAAACTGTACAATTATGATCTTTTACCCACACGGATGTGGATGAGCACTTTACACAGACATTTCTAAAATATCTGGAAGAATTTCTACTTGAGAGAAAAGTTTCAAGATGGGAAAGAAGTTTAAAGAAGAGTAAAAGATGGGGTTTGAGGGAGTGTGTTAACAGAACGGCACTCTCTGGGCTTTCTTCAGCTTTTCCTACGGTACACTTCGGTGGTGAAATCGACTCTTTTACCTGGAGATGTCTCAGGCGAGATTCCGTTTAACGCACCCTTCAGCGTCTCCGTAGGATGCTGTTACTCCTCCGGAGTAGCGGCGAGACTGTCCGACACAAGCTCACCTCAGTAGAAAATGTTAGAATCCCATGAACCTCGGAAGAGCTCTGTTGTCATGTCAGGATCTTCCCGGCTCCCAGAACTGGGCCTCTCTCACAGAACTGGTTGAACTGTGTATCCAGCAGAACTCCAACAGCACTCCATCAGAACTGAACAGAACTGTCCCAGAACTGTCCCCGAACTGAGTAGACCAGGAAGTACCGAAATTTTAAAGAGCTGTTTTTCGGTTCATCTGGGAGTATTCCCATTGGCCAGAACCGACCAGACGGGGTGTGTTTTGTGACGTAAGAGGTTAGAAGACAGCAAGAATTGTTATGGAAAGATCAGAAATGTTCTCACAGACAGAGAGAGTTTTGTTTTGGCGCGTTTCAGAAACAGGTGCCAAAACCTCTATATTTACGTCTGAGAGGATTCTAAAAACATGACAGTTCGTTCCAACAACTTGTTTTGCGTTTGACTCCAACCTTGGACCAACTTACACTTGCTCATTCAAAGACAGAAAATCAGAAAATGCATAATTACTCTGTAACAGCTTTAACATGAGTTCTAACTTTGCATGAGAATTTTAAAATCATTACACAGTTAATAAAATTGATTAGTTCACTGCAACATCTAAAATGGTTTGAACTAAGACACTTTGATTATCAACATTTGTAAAATAGTAATGATAATAAAAAAGAGAGTGTTCTTTCACTTGATTATCAAGAAAGAGAGTCTCAGGATGGGTGAACCTGTATCTCTGGATTCAAATCAATGAAATGACAGTTTCTGTCCCACAAGGTTCCTAAGGTCAAGGATTTTGACCTTAGGCTTAGTCGTGACACCAGATTAAGTTCACTACAGTGGTGAAGGCTGCACAGAAGTCTGTTGGAGTCAGTCTCCCCACCATCACAGACATTTACACCTGTAGATGCAGGAAGAGAGCCACCTGCATCATGAAGGACCCCACTCACCCAGCACACACAATTTTTGCCCCACTCCCCTCAGAAAGGAGGTTGAGAAGCATTAAGTGCAGAACCACTAGACTGAGAAACAGCTTCTACCCTGAAGCTGTTAGACTCATGAATCTCTAACCAGGATAATCACTGTGAAAAATCACATCATGTTGCTGCTGATCTGTTTCATGTTGCTGCTGATCTGTTTCATGTTGCTGTGTTCATGCGTGCTCATCTGCTCACACAGACTCATGTTTGTGCTGCTGTTCGGCGTGATGTTTTTGTGCTATTAGTGCTTAGTGTATATTTAGTTGATGTTTTACTTAGTTCATATCTTAGATCTTATTACTGTTTTTCTTTTATATTTTATTGTTGGATGTAACTGGGACCCTGTGTACATAATTTCATTCCACCACATGTACCACATGGGTTGCGAATGACAAATAAAGAATCTTGAATCTTTGAATAAAAGCTTCCGAAAACTCATGTGGACAGAAAGAACAAGGAGCTCAGTGTCCCTTGCCTGGACATGGGTTACCAGGGCCCCATCCTGGAGCCAGGTCTGGGGGGGCTTGTCGACGAGCGCCTGGTAGCCAGGTCTCTACCCACGTTGCCAAGTCGGGCTCAGCCCCAACAAGCAACATGGGTTTGCCTTCCCATGTGCCTACCACCTGCAAGTGGGGCCATACAAGTCGGGTGCATGCCTCCATGGGCAGTGGCTGAAGGCAGGGGCCTTGGCGCTCTGACCCAAGTTTACCAAAGCTGGCTCTTGGGACATGGAATGTGTCCTCTCTGGTGGGGAAGGAGCCTGAGCTTGTGTGGGAGGTTGAGACTTCTAGGTACAGTTGGGCTCACCTCGACACACATTACGGGCCTGGAGAGGGGCTGGACCTCATTCCATTCTGGAGTTGTCCATGGTGAGAGGCGTCGAGCTGGTGTGGGTCTACTCTTAGCCCTGATTTGGTGCCTGTGTGCTGGAGTTTTCCCTGGTAGATGAGAGGGTAGCTTCCCTGCACCGTTGGGTGGGGGGACAGGCTCTGACTGTTTGTGATTACACGTGAAACAGCAGTTCAGAGTATCCAGCCTTCTTGGAGTCCATGGTGGGGGTGCTGGAAGGTGTGCCAGCTGGGGACTCCTTTATTCTCCTGGGGGACTTCAATGCCCATGTGAGCAATGACAGTGTGGCCTGGAGGTGCATGATTGAAAGGAACACCCTCTCTGATCTGAACCCAAGCAGTGTTCTGTTGTTGGACTTCAGTGTGAAGCTGGAATGAGAATCAGCACCTCCAAATCTGAGGCCATGGTCCTCAGTTGGAAAAGGGTGGATTGCTCTATTCGTGTCGAGGCTGAGGTTCTGCCATGGAGGAGTTCAGGTATCCTGAGGTTTTGTTTACGAGTGAGGGAAGAATGGAGCGTGAGATCGACTGATGGATTGGTGCAGCATCTGCAGTATTGAGGACGCTGTGCTGGTTCGTTATGGTGAAGAGGGAACTGAGCTGTAAGGCAAAGCTCTCTGTTTAGTGGTCGGTCTAAATTCCTGCCCTCACCTATGGCCACAAACTTTGGTAAGGATGCTCCTTGGACACCTTCCTTGGAAGGTGTTTTGGGCGTGTCTGACTAGGAGGAGACATTGAGGAAAAGCCAGGACACGCTGGAGAGACCGTCTCTTGTTTGGCCTGGGAACACCTTGGAATCCTCACAGAGGAGCTGGAAGAGGAGGCTGTGGAAAGAGATGTCTGGGCCTCCTTGCTCAAGTTGCTGCCCTCGCGACCCGACTTCAGAACAAGCAGAAGATGATGGATAGATGGATGGATGGAATAAAAGCTTCAAGGCTTTCACAAGGCTTTCTGATCATCAGTAATATAGTGACTCAAAATTATCTAAAGAACCATAAGATTCTTTGCGTCTGTCTGTGTTTTCATTGTAGCTCTGTTTACATGCAGGCGTTTCCCTTCTGCTAATGCTGATATCTCAATATCTGTTCATCTCAGCAACATAGAATATTTTGGGGGGCAATAAGTTATTAATGTTATCTTTACAAAAATTAATTCATATTTATCACAAAAAAATGATGTCACAGGATTTTTCAAGTTATTTTAGAACGATGTGAAAACACAAAACAGTCACAAAACATTCAGGTAAACAGGATCGATTAGTAATGAGAAATGATGCTGGTGAAGATTCTCAGTCATCCAGGACATGATAAATTCAAAAAACGTTCAATACAAAAACAACAAAACACACTAATAAACAGAAAAAGGAAAACAACAGACGTAAAAACATCATCATCCCTTATGTTACTGGAGTAACAGAGAAATTCAGAAGGATTTTCAACAAACACAACATCCCAGTACATTTCAAACCCAGCAGGACTCTCAGGCAGAGGCTGGTCCACCCTAAGGACAAGACACCCATACACAAACAGAGTGGTGTAGTGTATGTGGTCCAGTGCAGCGAGGACTGTCCAGACCTCTACAATGGAGAAACTAAACAGCCTCTTCACAGACGCATGGCTCAACACAGGAGAGCTACTTCCTCAGGACAAGACACACAGATGGTTTGAAAGGGGGGTTAAGGAAGCAATTCATGTAAAAAGAGAAAAACTGTCTTTTAACAGAGGAGGAGGCCTCAGATTTCCACTTTCAAAAACATATAATGCAACTTTAGGACTGATTCACAGCCAGTTTTCACACCTGATGGGAACAGAGGGGCCTCATCTGTGAATTAGAGTAACAAAGACTTTAAGAAACCCCTACTGTTAAGGTGTTGAGGTGTGAATTGTCAATCTACATATGTGTATGTGTTTTATCTCACTCAGCTTTATAACCTGAATCTTTCACTCACTGCTCTTTGAATTGAGAAAGCTCCTTGGATGAGGAGCGAAACTTCTTCTGTTACAAATAAAGTCCAGTTGTTTTTGTATTTAATGTTTTTTGAATCAATGAGAAATGACTGACATTTCAGTTTATTTCAGTTTTATTTTCTAAAATAACGTAATCCGACTTCCGGTTGTGGGCGGGACTAATGGTGAGCTTTTATAAAAGGCGGGACGTGTTTTTCCAGTGGTTAGAGGTTTTCTGTAAACCTTGGAAATTAGAGCTCAGGTCTGTGTGGAGCACGCGATCAGAAGAAACCATCATGGTTCGCGAAATTACATCTAAGGCAAGTATTTATTTATTTTTCTTACACGTTTCAGCTGCTGTGTGATGTGTCAGCTGTTGTTTGTTCCAACACCGTAAACTAGTTTTCAATCTTTTTTTTATTATTACCAATTTTTCACGGCGCGCGCCTCTTTTCCTCCCCTCTTGCTCCGGACTCTGTTTTAACGCTAAATTAAAAAAACGCTAAAATAATAGTTTATTTGTTTTATACTTTTCAGCAATCGAGCTGACAACATCCTCCATTTAAAGAAAGTACTAGCAAATGACGTAAATCTATCAAAGTTGCTTTACTTTACGAGACCGGTGTTGTGTCGAAAAACGCACCCCTGCCGTAAAAGGGGCCATTCACATGGGCTTAAACGGTTGCAGCGCGCGAGGCAGCTGGACTCTTGCTATTAGCTTGGGCTGGCACTTTGCCACAGAGTTCAGCTGCTCTGAATACGGTTGATTGAAGCAAGTTTCCGAGTCGTAGTCTTGTTTAAACAATGCTGCACATTTACGGGTCGAGTTCAAAGGTTCAAACCGACGTTGAAGCGACTAAAACGGCTTGTAGCTAGGTCCAGAGCTGCTATCCTCTCCACTAGGCCTCGGGGCGCGTGGGTCTGGGTGGGAACGGCTTGTCGCAGAACATTGCGGTCATAAAGGGATGCTAAGGCAGGGTTGTCTAACTTCAGCTGCAAGTAGGCCATATAAAGAATATATTAAGGGTTTGAGAGCTACAGGCTGTAATTTTATAAAACTTTCATGATTCATTAAGGACTCATTCTGTCAGTAAGTTTTAGTCACTTTAGTTAATTAGTACTAACTGGGATGCTGCTGCAGACTTGGTGAAAAGATGTGAGAAGCACAGTTTACTTCCCCATTCTTTGAATTCATCTGGAAATGATTTACATAAGATTAACTCTGTCAAGCAGACAGACTTCTACAACCTACTCTGACTGTTTAAGCAGCCACACATTAGTCGGAGAGATTTGTCATACGCACCACATGCTGTACATGTGGTGGAACGAGATTATGTACACAGGGTCCCAGTTGCATCCCACAGTAAAATGTAAAAGGAAACTGTAATAAGATATGAGCTAAGAAACGCACTAACTAAAAATACACTAAGCATTAGTAGCATAAAAACAATGTCGAGCAGCAGCACGAACATGAGTCTGTGTGAGCAGATGAGTACGTCTGAACACGGCAACGTGAAACGGATCAGCAGCAACGTGAAACTGATCAGCAGCAAGATGATGTGATTATTTTGGTTAGAGATTCATGAGTCTAACAGCTTCAGGGTAGAAGCTGTTCCTCAGTCTAGTGGTTATACACTTAATGCTCCTCAACCTCCTTCCTGAGGGGAGTGGGGCAAAAAGTGTGCGTGCTGGGTGAGTGGGGTCCTTCATGATGCAGGTGGACCACTTACTGCATCTTCCTCTTCCTGCATCTAGCTGCATTAACTTTTGTTGTTTATATTTTAAAATATTTTTTCTGATAAAACCTAAAAATCGTCCTTTTTTTTTTTTTGTCAAAATTGTTTCTAATACTTAACCACACAGTAATGTTACTGCCCTCTGTGTTCCTTAGAGAAATATTGGCCATATAGAAATTCAATTAGAAATGTAGTTTTAATCCTAGAATTAATGCTTTCCCTTTTTTTTTTTTTTAATTTAAATTTTACTCCATCTCTATACCATTTTTATATTGGCTCATTGGGTAATGCTCCTGTTACCTTTGAGAGCCTCTAAATTTTTTTTTTTTTTTTTTTACTGGGGTAGACTTTGACTTACACCAGAAGAAGTGCCTCTTTTCTGACGTTGCTGTGCCTAATCTCTCAACAAAATGTTTTGGTTTATGAGTAAACCTTTAATACAAAAACTGAAATTTGGAGTTTTTTCTTTCTAGAAGCCCCATTTATTTATTTATTTTTCCCTTAAAAAAATGTACAGGGGGTGGCGGGGTGTCATTTTAAATGATGCGTATTTTAATTTCAGTCTGAGACGGCTCTAAACAACTAGTTATTGTGGCAGACTATTTTAAGCAGTTCTGTAAGGTAGATTTACATTTGCCAAATACCTAAAGAATACTAATCGAGGTGTATAAAGGACCTCCTGAGGGTTAATTTAATGCTCAAGGTGGGGAAATGGTTCGTGCATTTCATTTTTTTAGTGTATTTAGACAGATTTGTCTGGAATTCTGGCAGCTCTGCGTGGGTCAAAATAATTTTTGAACTGGCCATATTCTGGTCCACAGGCCTTCTGTAGAGGTTGTGACCCTGTGTCAGCTCAAAGCAGATTACAGAACTGTCAGTGGTTGTTTTGGGAGAGCGACATAAACTGAAATGATTAAACTTTATGTAATCCAGTCATTGATACTCCGACGCAAATTATTTTTAAACTGTAAAATGTTTTCCACATTGGAGTCACAGTAACTGGTTTGACATCAGTTGAAACCCTTGCACTCTTCTTTATTTATCCTCTTCAGGCGGAGTTTGATGCAGTTCTGGCCAGCGCAGGAGACAAGCTGGTGGTGGTGGACTTCACAGCTACGTGGTGTGGTCCCTGCAAAATGATTGGTCCAGTGTTTGAAGTAAGTGTTTGACTGCAACTCGTTCAACTCTGTCACTTCTGAGACAAATTATTATTTTTTTTACCCGTTTGTTGATGGAGCTTGTTGCCAAGGCAACTGTTTTTATTAACCAACATTTAGAAAGATAACTGCTTCATGGGAAAATGTGGTGGCTATGCAGAATTTTATTTCTTGCGTATGAGGAGAAAACAAGTGTTAATGGTAACTGACTTTCTTTCAGGAACTGTCAGTACAACACAAGGACAAAGTTATTTTCATTAAGGTGGATGTGGATGAGGCCGCTGTAAGTATGATTTTTATTTTTCATTTCAGATTTTGAGAAGTTATGCCACAAATCCTGCCTGGATAGAAATCCAATCTGTATAACTGTCTGCAGATTAGAGACTGGGTTTATGGCTCTTTGATGGGATCCAGATCTTGTGGATCCTGTCCTTTTCTTGGGGGCAGCTGTGGCTGAGTGGTTGGAGCAGCCATCAATGATTCTTTGTATATTATTATTATTATTATTATTATTACTTTATTACAGACTCAAAGTCCAACCAACATCACAGATAAATACAGAATACAGATAAAAAAAAAAAAAAAGGTTCCTAACCATGCAGGAGACAGTCATACCAGTGACTCCAAAGTGCAGAAGAATATTTCACTGCACTATATTTGACATTGGTCAACAGCAAAATAATTCTATTGTTAGACTCATTCAAACGACAAATAAATTTATACATAAGTTGTCTTAAAACAGCCATTAAAGTGTTGACACGGGTGGATACAAACAGCTCACTAGCACTGGTCCATCTAGGCTTATGTAGCAATAGTCTAAGAGCATCATTATAAGCGACCTTCAATCTATGAAGACTGGCTTTTTTAAAATTGCACCACAAATGTGCAGTATACAATGGTGTACAATACGATCTGAACAGGTTCAGTTTCACTTCATCAGAACAGAATCCAAACCTACGCACAAGGATATTTGCCTGAACATAGATCATACGAAGCTGGCGGTACATGTCCTCATCATCAGATAGATGGTCTGTCAAGACATGTCCAAGATATTTTACTTCATGTGAAGCATTCAGTAGAGACCCAGACAATTTGAAATTTGGAAATATTCTATATTTATCCTCTTTAGTGCGGCAAATTAGAATTGTACTTTTTAATGGGTTGAACTGGACGTCATATTGCTCACCATATGCAGAACACACATTTAGCAGCTGCTGTAGACCCGCTGAGCTCGGGCTAAAAACCACAATATCATCAGCATACATAAAATGATTAATAATTGTATCACCAACCATGCAGCCTGTTCTACACATGTTTAACCGCTTAGAGAGATCATTCATATAAAAATTAAACAATATAGGTGATAAAATACTTCCTTGTCTGACTCCATTTCTAACATGGAAGGGTGCAGACACACAGTTGTCCCATTTGACCTGCATTGTTTGGTTAGCATACCAATAGGACAGACATCTTACTATGTACTTAGGCACACCGGCTTGGCACAATTTTAAAAATAATTTAGTATGATTTATACGGTCAAAAGCCTTAGTGGCATCTAAGAAGCACAAAAAAATTGTAGAATTTTTACTATTGTAACTGTTCAGTAATTCTTTTAGGCCATAAATACACAGATCAGTACCATGCTTGGACTTGAACCCAAATTGATTGTCTGTAGACTCTACTTGTTTAGCAAATTTTGGCAAAAGAATTAGTTCGAAGACTTTAGACAGAGTATTTGCTAGTGCAATAGGTCTATAATTATCTGAGCTGCCAATTTTTCCAGCTTTGTTTTTAATCACAGGAGATAGAATGACATTCATCAAGATATTGGGAATAAAACCATGCATAATAAAACCAGTGAAACACAAAGCAAGGAGAGGGGCTAACCTTGGACTTGCATACTTAAGATGTTCAGCTGAAATAAGATCCGTTCCTACAGATTTATTTACAGACAGTTCTTGAATTGCCTGATAGACCTCATGTGTTTTGATAGTTTCTACATTATTAACCTGGACATCCTGGAAGGGTTCGCTCTGAACACAGGTGAATAGTTTGCTATAGTGTTGTTGCCAAAAATGTACAATTGTATTTGCTCCTGAGGCTCCATCAACAGTACAAGGTAGACAGGATTTACCATTGCTGATGGTTTTGACCTCTTTCCAAAACGCTTTGTCTTTACCTATAAGCTTTCTTGCCAAGGAATCAGCCCTCATGGATTGCTCATTACGTTTAATGAAGCGTAGTGCATATTTGTATTTTGCATTAGACAGCTTTTTGTGTTCAAATATAGGGCCCTGCCTGGGTTTACCTGCTAGAGCCCAAGAGGAAGTAGCTTTACAGGCTTCATCATGGTATTTAGATACATAAGTGTTCCAACCAGGTCTATTTTTTATCTTTCTTGTACTCTTGTTAAGTGGCAGGCTAGCTCCCAATAGCGCATCCGTTAATTGAGAGTAAAAAGCAGTTAAATTGGTTTTATGTTCAAAATCAGAGCAGTTACAGTCCATGCATGCAACTGCCTCTCTTGGTAATGTAATGGCGCCTAATAATCGATCAGTTTGGTTAAAGTACCGGGCTATTTGTTCAGTAGATAAAGAAGACCAATCTACACGTGTCTGAATATGATTGCTGTTTCCATATACAGTAGCGGGTATATGATCAAATCTAATAGACATCTCAAAAGGGATATGATCAGTAGTGGAGACATTGTATAAGATATTAATATATACCAGAGCAGCATGAGCATCTGCTGTAGTAATACAATGATCCAACCAAGACGTAGTATGCCAGGATTCACTTATGTACGTATAACTTGCAGCCGGCAAAAGTTCTTTGCTAGACAAAATTAGATTTGAATCCGTACAAAAATGATTCAAATGCCTTGAAAACAGCGAATTAGTATCTGATATGTCAGCATTCATGTCACCCATAACATAAATACTTTTTACCTTCTCGTTTTGCATAAAAGAGCTAATAAAAGCAAGTTTACTTAGGAATTCTTCTTCATTGTGATGACATTCATGTGGAGCATAGACATTTAAAATAAAGCATTCTTGTTCACGCTGCTTCACGTGTACTGCAATACACCAGTCTACACCAAGTCTAACAATTTTTATCAGTGGGTCCAGGCTCTTTTTCCATAAAATAGCCACTCCTCCAGGTATCCTTCCTCTTTTAATACCCAAACTCAGGTCTGTAGAAGATTCTCCAGCACCCAGGAAAGTGTCATTAATAGAGTTTAGTCCTTTTAAATCCTGTTTGGCCAGAAAAGTTTCTTGTAAGCACAAGATGTCACAGTGCAGCAGCAACTGGTCAACAACCAAACGGCGAGCTTTATCATCTGCGCTCTGTCCTAAGCGCAGGCCACGACAATTGTAGGATATGACTTTAATGTCCATAGAATTTATGGTTTTGTGCTCACGCCAGCGATAGAAACGCATATATCCGTAGAAGAAAGAGTAGCGTCTGCACCGATGATTGTTTTGCGTGGCTCATAAAACCTCCGCACAATAGTTCCCTCAGGCCAGAGCTCTGTGTTGTACATGACAGCCACTTCACTACATTCAGCAGAGACCTTAAATGAGGCATACCTGGTATTAACAGTCTTAATTCTCTGGCATGTAACCTTATGCCCAAGTTTAGATTTAAGATAAGCGCTTAGTGTATCTGCTTCGAGGTCAGGTGAGAATTTAGATGCAAAAACACTCACCAGCTTTGTTTTTACAATTTTGATGTTTCCAGCGGCACCAGTACCAACAATAGTCTGTCCAGCTTTCCTGCGTCCCAGTAAAGGACCAGAGCTAGCTGTTGAATTGGGAACAGCTAGTCCTTTGGGCTGACGATAGCGCCGTTTCACGACTTGGCTCCATTTAGGAGATCCCGAAGATGGCGAGGCCTCTCCGGCTGGCAGTGCTGGGACATCCCCCGTACCAGCTGAGAGGGGGTCCCCCTCCAGATCGCCATGACTAGGCTCCATAACCAGTGCGGCGTTCAGATCCCTGTCCGCCGCACCTTTCTCCATCACCGATACAGACCGGCTTCCCCGTCCTTGTTCGGCGCTTTGTTCCAGAGCAGACATCCGGTGTCGCAGGTCCGTGGTAATATCGTGAAGATCTTCACTGACTTCAGTCTGAACTCTGAGTGTTTGCTTCATAGCAGATACTGCAACATGAAGCTCTTCCATTTTACGTAGCAAGCCGCAGACATCCATGTTAGTAAAAGTCACTGGCGGTAGCTCGTCCAAATAGTGGGACACAAATCTGGGAATATTATCCCCGCATTCGTTTAGCACTTTGAGACAGGCCTTCACATTGTTGATATCCTTTTGTGCTCCTTTATGCGAGATGTTCCGCTGGGAGGGAGTGCATAGCTCATATAGCGTCTTCTTTGAAGTTTCAATCCAATCTGAGTCGAAGGTGTTGACGGCCAACAAGATAATCTCGTCCTGGCTTAGCGTCTTTAGTTTGATAAAAAGAAAGTGTAAAAATTCATCCTCAACGATAATTTTATCCTCGACCGTCTTATATATACATGGTTTTAAGCGAGCTCTAGAAAACGCCGGAGATCCGGAAGAGCGAGCTACGCCAACGCCATCCACGTCGGCCATCTTATCTTATTAATCAGAAAATGATAGATCTAGTAGAGTGCTGTTTGAGTAAATGAGGGCACAGGTTGTAAAAAGCTTTTTAGTATCTTGATAAGATGGAAAGGGGCTATAAAAGTACAGCCATTACCATTATTATTATTTTTTTTAAAGAATCGTTCAAAATGTGCATCACTATGTACATTTGTAGAACAGCCATACTGCCACGACCATGCAGACATGTTAAGCACACATCACCCTCCCTTCCTGAGTGCATGCCAGTCAGCTTGCAACTGAGTCTCAGTTCCCGTTTATTTGTTTTTCATTTTAATAAAAGCCGTTCAAATGATTCATCTGTGAATCTGTCTGAATTCATGCGTCACATTCTACTGCAAAGAAATCTGTGAATGCAGCATTCCTGGTTTTCACAGCATTTTTCTTTGTACCCAACATTTTTCAGTCAAGTCATCTGGACAGTTTCTTTTTTTTTTTTTGTGCTGAAACTTTTCGCCTTCGATCCAGAAGGCTTCATCAGTCAAGGAAACGCACAACAAAATTGATTCTTCCTCCAACAGCTTACTCAAAAGTGGAACAAACCAGTTCTGCTTGTGATTAGATGGTCTCTTTGGTACGCCCCTCCTCCATTGCCGGCCCTCTTCCTTGTTGACAGTTTTGTCAAACTGGGTGAAAACGACAAAGTCCATGCTGATGAAGCCTTCTGGATCGAAGGCGAAACGTTTCAGCACAAAAAAAAACTGTCCAGATGACCTGACTGAAAGACTGAAAAATGTTGGATTTTATACCTGGATTGTTGAGCATGGTCTTTGTTTTTCTTTGCAGTTTCATAAATTTTTTTTTACTTTTTTTTTTTTTTCGAAAAGTTTTGTATACGAGTTTCTTGAAACTGAGAATGCAAGAGGCCGAAAAAAAATATAAGTATAAAAATAAATTGGTATGGATTATAAGGAAACCCAAGAAGGAATATTAGTGATTTATTAAATAAAAGTAATGGTGATGTGAAAGAAACATGGCGAGTAATAAATAGTGTTTTGAAAAGTCATAAAGCAAAAACGGGTATTTCACAATATTTTTTGAAGGATGACAATGAAATCTATGATGAAAATGAAATTGTAAATGGATTTAATCATTTTGTGAACGTTGGATCAAGCCTTGCAGCTAAAATACCAAAAGTGGACAATGTGAACCATTCAGTTATAAGTTGTGACAACAGTATTTTTCTTAATGGAACTGACAAAGAAGAAATAATGAATGTTGTAAAAAATCTTACAGATAAGAGATCAAAAGACTGGGTGGACATGGATATGATGTTTGTAAAGGACATAATGAGTCATGTTATTGAGCCGTTTACATATATTTGTAATTTATCATTTTCAAAAGGAATATTTCCAGACAATATGAAAGTAGCTAAGGTAGTTCCTCTCTTTAAAAATGGTGATAAATGTGTGTTCATTAATTATAGACCAATATCATTATTACCACAGTTCTCAAAAAATCTAGAAAAACTATTTGTGACCAGATTAGATAAATTTATTACTAAACAAAACATTCTAAGTAGCAGTCAGTATGGGTTTAGAACAAAAAACTCTACATCAATGGCTCTCATGGAAATAATAGAACAAAGAACTACTGCTGTCGATCAAAAACAGTATTGTGTTAGTATTTTTGTTGATTTATAAAAAGCATTCGATACTATTGACCACACTATTCTCCTTGAAAAATTAAATAAATATAGCATAAGAGGACCAGCATTACACTGGGTATCTAGCTATTTAAAAGATAGGAAACAGTTTGTACAAATAAATGGTGTAAGATCTGACCTGTGCAATATCACTTGTGGAGTTCCTCAAGGCTCTGTACTTGGACCAAAGTTATTTATTTTATATGTGAATGACTTAGTAAATGTATCAGGACTCCTCAAATGTGTCCTTTTTGCACACAACATTTTTTTGTTTGGGTAAAGATGTAAAACGGATGTTGGAATTGATGAAGACCGAATTTGATAAAATACAAACTTGGTTTAAACTTAATAAATTATCATTAAATTTAGATAAAACTAAATGCATGATATTTAGTAACAAAGAACTGTTGATGATCCATTTAAAATTGAGGGTGTTGAGATTTGTAGAGTTAATGAGATGAAATTTTTGGGTGTAATCATTGATGAACAGCTAACATGGACAAATAACATAAATTCTGTAAGAACAAAAATATCTAAATCTATTGCAGTACTATACAAAGTCAGGGAATTATTAAATGATAAAGCTCTGTACATGTTGTATAACACAATCATTGTTCCACATTTAATCTATTGCATTGATGTTTTGGGGAAAGCGTGTAAAACATTTACAAAACCTATTTTTATTTTACAGAAAAGAGCTGTAAGAATTATCACCAGAAAGCATTACTGTCACCCATCAAGCACATTATTTTATCAACTGAAGTTATTGAAGTTCCATGATTTGGTAGATTATAGTATTTTATCAGTTATGTATAGGGCTCAAAATAACACATTACCATTAAATATCCAAAGAAATTTTGTTAAAAGACAAAGTTGTTATAATCTTAAGGGGATAGAAATATTTGTCAAACCAAAATTCAGAACTAGTCTGAAGGGAAGGTCTACCTCAATCCAAGGAGTTGGATTGTGGAATGTTCTAGAGAGTGATGTGAAAAATGTCAAGTCAATGTGTACATTTAAGAAAAAGATCAAAGCTGAATTGTTAAAAAAAATATATATGAAGTAGCTTAGTGTGTTTTTTGTATTGGAATTAGAAAAATTAGAAAGTTATTCATTTTGTTCTGTTACTTGAAAATTGTGATTGAACTAATTGTGTGGGGGGAAAAAGGGGCAGATATAATATATATATATATATTTTCTTCTTCTGCTGCCTTTCATTTTAAATCTCGTATATTTTATATTGAATTGTTTTGTATTTTTTTTAAATTAATAAACTTGATACCATACCATAAATGAAATGACTGTATATTAAAAAAAAAAAAAAAAAAAAAAACTTGCTGAACCAGTAGAATGATTATCAAAACAAATGTTTCCGGGCCAAATCCTCAAATAAACACTTGTCGTTTGTAGTCGAAGATTAATCGGACTAAATCCCAGTTGAACAGTTTGTGGTATGACGAGTTCATCTTGACTGATCACTTTCTGTTCCTTCAGGACGTGAGCAGTGACTGTGGTATTAACTGCATGCCTACATTCCACTTCTACAAGAACGGACAGAAGGTGAGTGCAAACACTTGGAACAACTCAAACTGGTTTGACACAACCAGTAGCATTGCTGATTTTATATTGCACTTATTTTTTGAGAGGGCAAAGCTGCATCTTGGAACTTTTTGCTTTATGTATTGAGATTGAGGAGAAATGAGTTTTGAAATATTTATCCAGGTTAGGCTTCACTTGTGTAAATCTTTTGAGAAGGCAGTTTCCATGGTGGTAGTAAACAAACATTATCCAGTTTAGTTGTTCGTTTTTTAGTAAATGGGTTTTCTGTTTTTCAGGTGTTTGAGTTTTCTGGTGCCAACCAAGAAACGCTAAGGAAAAAAGTGGTTGAGCTGCAGTAGACCAAAGCTTCAGTGACCAATTCAGTCTCCACCTGAGCAGCACTTCCTGTTGCCACCATCAGCTCCTCTGTCCCACACAGGAAATATTTTATTCCACTCGTGCAACACCTGACGGTCCCGTCAATAGCTGCCGTAACACATGGCTGATGTAAAAACACAAACATGAAGTCCTCTTTTAATTCTGTTAAAATTGCTAGAACTCTTGCAAACTGCTGTATGGGTTTTAATTTCCCCCCAAAAAAGGTGGATTAATAAATGATGAACTGAACTCTTTTCTTGTGCTTATTGTATTCAAAATATAAAAAATGACTTTATCCAAAGCCCGTTAGTGGCGTTTATACTTTATTAAAAACGTGAATAGTTTACACATATACACTGGACTGTCACATCAGAGTTTTTACACATCGTACAAGTATATATAGCAGCAAATGTTTAATACTGTTTTGAGTTTTTAAAAGGGGGGGGGGGGGTACAGCTTAAATTTACAAAAAGATAGTTTGCAGAGATGAGTGAATGGTTTCACAATTTTTATTTTCTTTAAATATACAAGAGTTCTCTTCAGGATGATTCACCTGGAGGCCAGTGGCACCTTTATCAGAAGTGGTAGTACACAGATTTTCTCTTCCTGTAAAGACAAACATTGGTTACACAAAGTCTTGGGGGGGCTTCAATCCAGAATTTCTTTAAACTCATTGCAGCACGTTTGCACCATTGACACTAAAATAAAAAAAATAAAAAAATACTAGACCAAACATCAACCTCTTAATTTGGTAACTGAAGCCAGCAGAACCCAGTTTACAGGAACTGTTGCCAATTTAAGACCAGAGTCTGCACATGAGGAATGTGGAGAATCCCCTTCCTCCTCCCACATACAATCGCGGGGTCAAAAGGTCATTCGTAGGAGACTTTATTCACTTATTCATGACAACCACTTTAGTTTTTAAAAACAAACTGGAATGTGCTTGAATGCTGTATGTGGTTGCAACATTTAGTTTGAAATATTACCATATTTATAGAACGGCAAAAGAACCTGAATCAAAACTGACATTCTGTGTTAAGAATTAATTTAGTAAATGTTCTAATAAAACGTCCAAATACAATGAACAATCTCATATTTTGGGTCACTACCCAAAGTTTGACACAGTGTAAGAATGTAGACCGACCGGTAAAAAGGACTACTTCGCCTTGCAGCTCAGCTCCTTCATCACAACTGACCGGAACAGAGTACGCAAAACTGAAAGCTGCACTGATCCGTCTGTTCTCACAATGCAGTCTTTTCTCTCTCGTGAACAAAACTCCCAAGATCCTTAAGGCCTCAGGTTTGGAAGTGCTGATCCACATCCTAGTTGCTTCACACTTTGCTTTAAACCACTCAGACAGCTGGAGATCATAGCATGATGACACCAATGGGGAGGACCACATCATCCACAAATGGAGATGAAATTCAGAGGCTACTGAACCAATGATCGAGACAATGATCAAGAAATTCTGTTCATAATTTTTATGAATGGTGACAATGGGCAGCCATGGTGTGGTCCAGCTCTCACCCTGAAGGGGTTCAACTCGCTGCCGGCAATGCAAATCAAACTCACCGCTTGTATGACTGGCCTGTAGCAACGGACCCCCAATCTCATACTCCTGGAGCACCATGCAGTGTACCCCATGGAACAGGGTCAAATGGCCTTTCCCAAATCCACAACACACGTAGACCAGACAAGAGCTTCCAGATGACTGGGCTACTACAGCAACAATAATTAGGAAGGTACTTGGTGTGTCATCTGGACAGATAATGGATGATAAGGAAACCTGGTGGTGGAAAAGTGAAGTGCAGGAAGCTATTCAAAGAAAAAGGTTAGCCAAAAAGAAATGAGTGAGAAGACTGAAGAGAGGAGACATAAATATAAGGAGATGCAATGTACAGAAAAGAGGGAGGTAGCAAAGGCAAAGCAGAAGGTGTATGATGAGATGTATAGGAGGCTGCACTAAATAGGGTGAGAAGGACTTGGACCGATCAATGAGACCGAGGGATCAGGCTTGAAAGGATGTGCAGCAGATTAGGCTTACAAGTCCTTCTCAAAAAATTAGCATATTGTGAGAAAGGTCATTATTTTCCATAATGTAATGATAAAAATGAAACTTTCATATATTTCAGATTCATTGCACACCAACTGAAATATTTCAGGTCTTTAATTGTTTTAATACTGATGATTATGGCATACAGCTCATGAAAACCCAAAATGCCTGTCCCAAAAAATTAGCATATTTCATCCCACCAATGAAAGACAAGTGTTTTTAATACAAAAAACGCCAACCTTCAAATAATCATGTTCAGTTATGCACTCAGTACTTGGTCGGGAATCCTTTTGCATGAATGACTGCTTCAATGCGGCGTGGCATGGAGGCAATCAGCCTGTGGCACTGCTGAGGTGTTATGGAGGCCCAGGATGCTTCGATAGCGGCCTTAAGCTCATCCAGAGTGTTGGGTCTTGCGTCTCTCAACTTTCTCTTCACAATATCCCACAGGTTCTCTATGGGGTTCACGTCAGGAGAGTTGGCAGGCCAATTGAGCACAGTAATACCATGGTCAGTAAACCATTTACCAGTGGTTTTGGCACTGTGAGCAGGTGCCAGGTCGTGCTGAAAAATGAAATCTTCATCTCCATAAAGCTTTTCAGCAGATGGAAGCATGAAGTTCTCCAAAATCTCCTGATAGCTAGCTGCATTGACCCTGCCCTTGATAAAACACAGTGGACCAACACCAGCAGATGACATGACACCCCAGTGACTGTGGAAACTTGACACTGGACATCAAGCAATGTGAATTATGTGTCTCCTCTCTTCCTCCAGACTCTGGGACCTTGATTTCCAAAGGAAATGCAAAATTTACTGTAATCAGAGAACATAACTTTGGACCACACAGCAGCAGTCCCAGGAGAGATGCTTCTGCCGCTGTTTCTGGTTCAAAAGTGGCTTGACCTGGGGAATGCGGCACCTGTAGCCCATTTCCTGCACACGCCTGTGCACGGTGGCTCTGGATGTTTCTACTCCAGACTCAGTCCGCTGCTTCCGCAGGTCCCCCAAGGTCTGGAATCGGCCCTTCTCCACAATCCTCCTCAGGGTCCGGTCACCTCTTCTCGTTGTGCAGCATTTTCTGCCACACTTTTCCCTTCCCACAGACTTCCCACTGAGGTGCCTTGATACAGCACTCTGGGAACAGCCTATTTGTTCAGCAATTTCTTTCTGTGTCTTACCCTCTTGCTTGAGGGTGTCAGTGATGGCCTTCTGGACAGCAGTCAGGTCGGCAGTCTTACCCATGATTGCGGTTTTGAGTAATGAACAAGGCTGGGAGTTTTTAAAAGCCTCAGGAATCTTTTGCAGGTGTTTAGAGTTACGTCGTTGATTCAGATGGTTAGGTTAATAGCTTGTTTAGAGAACCTTTTCATGATATGCTAATTTTTTGGGACAGGCATTTTGGGTTTTCATGAGCTGTATGCCATAATCATCAGTATTAAAACAATTAAAGACCTGAAATATTTCAGTTGGTGTGCAATGAATCTGAAATATATGAAAGTTTCATTTTTATCATTACAGTATGGAAAATAATGACCTTTATCACAATATGCTAATTTTTTTAGAAGGACCTGTATTTAAGATAGGAATGGTAATGTTCTAACAAGTGAGGAGAGTGTGACGGGAAGATGGAAGTAGTACTTTGAGGCGCTAATGAATGAAGAGAATAAAAGAGAAAGAAGAGTAGAGGTCATAGAAACGGTGGACCAGGAAGTGGGAGGCTGAAGTCTGGAAGGCTCTGAAAAGACTAAAGAAGGGGAAGGCAGTAGGACCTGATGACATACCAGTGGAGGTTTGGAAATGTCTTGGAGAGATGGCAGTGAGGTTTTTGACTCAAATATTCAATGGCATATATGAGGGTGATAAAATGCCTGAGGAATGGAGAAGAAGTGTGCTAGTGCCCATTTTGAAGAACAAGGGTGATGTACAGAGTTGTAGCAACTACAGGGGAATTAAGCTGATGAGCCACACAATGAAGATCTCTGAAGGTGACTATTTGTGAGCAGCAATATGGTTTCATGCCAAGAAAGAGCACCACATATGTCAGACACCATCTTTGCTTTGCGGATGCTGATGGAGAAGTACAGAGATGGTCAGAAAGAACTCCATTGTGTCTTTGTGGATTTAGAAAAAGCATATGACAGAGTGCCGAGGGAGGAGGTGCGGTATTGCATGAGGAAATCTGGAGTGGCAGAGAAGTATGTTAGACTGGTACAGGACATGTATGAGGACAGCAGGACAGTGGTGAGATGTGCTGTAGGAGTGACAGATAGCTTCAAGTAGAGGTGGGAGTGCATCAAGGATCAGCTCTGAGCCTCTTCTTGTTTGCTCTGGTGATGGACCGACTAACAGATGAGGTGAGGTGTAAAAGACAGAAGTGAGAATAGCTGTGCTGTATGGTTTGGAGACAGTGGCACTGACAAAAACACGAGACAGAACTAGAAGTGACAGAAATTAAAATGTTGAGGTTCTCCTTAGATGTGACAAGGCGGTGCAGACAAGATTAGGAATGAGATCATCAGAGGTACAGCTAGGGTTGAACAACTGGGAAATAAAGTTAGAGAGACCAGACTGAGATGGTTTGGACATAACTAGAGGAGGGACAGTGGGTATACTGGTAGAAGGATGTTTGAAATGCAGCTGCCAGGAAAAAGACAAAGAGGAAGGTCAAAGAGGAGATATATGGATGCAGTTAGAGAGGACATGGAGGTGGAGTGAGGACAGAGGATGCAGAGGACAAAGAGAGATGGAGGAGAATGACAAGAACAAGTGTTTTTTTTTCTATACGTCTGTGTGTTTTTGTTTTTCTGGTGTTTTCTCAAACTCCTATGTAACTGTGCACCTGGAGGTTCCAATTAATGTTTGCACTACCGTTTTTGATACTTTTGGACTTTTTTAATCTGCCTTCAGATACTCCACCAGCCATGGCTCTATTTGTTTACACAAGATCAGCTGTTAGCCCTAAGCCACACTGGTCTACTCCACACTAGACACCAGTGATTCCACCAGAGATCACGAGGAAGAGAACAGTCTGTAGAGCTAGTCGTAAACGCCGAGAGAGACGACGGAGACATAAACCATGTTTACTGACTGTTACCATGGGATACGCTCGGTCACTCTCCAACAAGACAAGACAAAGTACCAGAGCTAATCAGTGGGAGTACAGAGAGAACAGCCTTGTGCTTCACAGAAACACGGCTGAACCAGGACACACCAGTCTCTATTGCCTTTTTCCATTCAACCTTTATTTATACAGGTTAATCCCATTGAGTCTCAGGCCTTAAATGACTGTACCTGCTGAGGAGGCTGAGGTCCTTTGGTGTGTCTGGGGCTCTACTCTGCACATTTTACGTCCCCGGTGCAGGAAGGAGTGTTGGTGGCACTAATTGGAAGCTTCTTCTTCTTTTGTTTTTAGAACTTTTTTTATCTGCTTTTGTATATAGTGTAAATTAAGTTCAAGCTACTATTATTACAACCATGTATACAGCTATGAATTTATTACTAATCTGGAAACATCCTGGGATGGTTAGCTAATGTGAACTGGGATTAGACTGTTGTGAAACAAGTTAGTTTCACCATCCTGATGATGTGTTGTTGCAATAACCGCTTTTCCTGATTATTAATATTTATAAGTTAAAGTTAGGGATGCACGATATTATTGGCATGGTATCGGTATCGGGCGATATTAGCGATAAAGTTACATATCGGATATCGGCCAATCCATCAAAATATCTCACCGATA